AACATGTACATCATGGCAAGGCCCCTTCTTGAGGGCTCAATCCTCACATGTATGTGAACGCAACAGCATAGACCCGGTCGGGGCCTGCTGATGTGGTATCCCCTGCTGCTGACGTGGCACTGCTGACGTGTCCTGCTGACATGCTACTGACGTGGCAACTTACAAATGTCGCCGCAGGGGGTACGAGGAGACCAACAGAGCAGGTAAGGCGAGAGATGGCAACAACATAGGTGGGGAGAGGTGGGTGGGATAATAGCCCAACTAACACTCAGAGAAGGAGCCACAAATAAAAAAAGAAAAGTTTGAACTTTGCAAAAAAATTTTGAGAAAAAAAATCCCGATTTTTGCAAGTTCAGCAGGTCTCCCAACCTCCCTTGAAGTGTGAAATGATCACTGAAAGAGAAAAAAAATTCGACTTCGGACTGCAAATGATTTATGGAAATGACTGACAGAATCCTAGAACTGCGAAAAAAATTCCGAAAAGAAATGCCAAGTATTCGGATTTATTCAGATGAGAATATTCGCAGTTTGGAAAATAATACTGTAGGAGGGATTTCCAGTACCGTTTTCAGAACAACAAATTTCGGAAAAGAAGATATTTCGAATTTCTAAGTAACGGGAAATGCAATAGGAAATCGAAATTTTCGAAAAGAAAAATATTCCGGATTTTCAACAACGAAATGTTGAATTTTCAGAAGAAAAACGAAAATGGGAATTTCAGATGTTGCGATATTGCGATTTTCCACAACAGAAAAGCGAGAAAACAAAATCCAAGGAAAAAAAAAAAAATCGATTTTCGGTAGAAATGTCAAAATCGTGATTTTGGGGTATAACTAATGTGCTCTAATCAATCAATAAAGACTAACCAGCTATTTAGTCCCCGCACACGTGTCAGATCAGGTTGTCCTGATTCATGTGCGATGCTCTGATACCAACTGTTACATGCACAGATACGTGATGTACGTAATAATCGAGGATCTGCAATGTGATGAAAAGGAACGAATGGACAATGCGGTGCGAATAGAATCTTGACAAGCAATGTGCATTCTCATACATACATAATGGTGTTGAATAACGCAGGGAAGACTTAAATACAAAGACTGACCTGACCGGGATTGACCTCATTCACGTAGTACAAAGCAGTGAAGCAAAATGTTAGAATGCTAATAACTAGTCCAATCAATGTTTGAACTCAGACCAAACATACATCGTATCCATCACCAGGTGTGAAGGAGCCTGGCACTGTACACAGGATGAAAGCGCCAGGTCCAGACATACACAGACGAAGAGGAAGGGATTAGACGAAAGGAGGGAGAGAGATGGGAATGTCGTCAACACCAAGTCGTTGTCACCAATCCCAAATAATCCCTCGTTGCCATGTCTAAAGTCCCCAAAAGTCGAGTCTGGATCCGATGTCACCAAGCTCTGCTTGTCTTCTCTCGTAGTCTGCAGATGCAGTGAAGTCAGATGTTGAGAGGGGGAGAAGGAGATGGTGGACTGAGAAGAGGAAGAAGAAGAACTCTCTCTCTCACTGTTACGAGCCAAATACTGACCTGTGATATTGGCGTTGTGCTGCAGGTACCTCGAAGACGAAGCTGGAGCAACGGCGCTGCAGGTAAGTACCTCTGGCCTCCGCCCAATCTCTCTCTCTCTCTCTAGTACTATCTAGCTATGGCGCCCTGCGCTGGAGACTACAGCTACCTACTGCGCCCAACGCTGAAGACTACAAGTTAACGCTATTACTACTCTACAGCGCTCCCTCCAGAGTGCTGCTCCCGAATCCTGAAGACTACAACTGCCGACAGCCTACCCGTGAAGTGCATGGGAAGTCCCTATGTACTACCTCGGCCTGCCCCCTGACTGCTGAAGGGCGAGCCAGGCCGAGGAGGCAGCTCTTGCCAATGCCGAAGTGTGCCGGGGGCTGGCGTGGGGAACAGGCTAAGAATAGCCTGTTCCGAAACCCTGGTTTGGTGCCTGAGTTTCAGGGCCGGTCGTTCTGATGAACGACCGAAAATGACCCTTCGTTTCAGGCTAAAAAGGTTGTTGCCGTTTTTAGTCTGAAACGACATAGGGGCTGTGGCCCTGGAATTTAGGCTTTCGGCCTGATCCGACATGGGGCCTGTAAGCCCTGGATTTCAGGCTTTCGGCCTGAAATTCAGGCTTTTGGCCTGAAGGACGCAGGGCCTGAAAAATGGCCCGCGTGTGCGCGCAGCATGTAACAGTAGTGCAGCCAAGCCCTGAGAATGACGTGCTACGTGAGCAACCCATAACTGCTGAAACACAGACCTGAATTCAAATCTTGAGTATATATTCGGCCAGCTCGTGCTCTTCTTCATATTCACTGCCTGCCTTGATTTTGGTGGGGGGGTCTGCGCTGCATGGCTGCGAGGACCCTTCAGATAGCCTGCATGGGCCATCTGAGCCGTGTTGGGGGGATTCCCCCACACCTCCGAAAAAAAAAAAAGGACCTTTTACACATGGTGGGGGGTGACGTGGTGGGGAGGGTAGGCCTCTGTTTGTTTTTTTTTTTCACTTTTGGGGTCCGTTGAACGAGGCCCACCACCACCCCGTAGTCCGCAACGCGCGCGCGCCCCCCAGGGTCGCATTCAAATTTTTCGCGCCAGGTGGGCCGCAGCGCGTTTGAACGTGATTGAACGCGGCCCAGGGGGGTATGAACGCGCACGTTTTCACGTTCAGCGCTTTCAGCCGGTTACACAGTTTCGGGCCTGGTTTTGAAATTGCCGCGCCGTCAACTGGTAACGGAACTTGCGGCGTCGCTAGGTGGGCTCCACTGGGCTCCATCGTGGTCTCTCCACAGGTCCTAGTAGCTGGTTTCCACAGGGCTCCGCAGCCCGGTTCGTCCTCGTCTGGTCCCAAGGGCAGCAACAGTTTTTGTGCTGTTTATGCCTCATACGAACTACAGCTGTGGTACCCCTGCAATCGAAAGTTTTTTTTGCCTATTTGAACTCCGAAAATGTTGATTTTGCCACACCTTGTTTTTCTGGGCTATTTGGAACTGAAGTTGTGACCCAAAAGCAGTTTCCCCAAGAAAAAAAGAAAAAAAAGAAAAGAGATCCAAAAGGCCAGAACACGTGGTGCCCAAGGTACCCCTGCAGATTATAGATGATTATTGTTAACTGTTTTTTTTTATTTTATTTTATTCCTGTTCTTTCTACACTCTTCTCTCAACTTCTGTTTCTTTTGCCTTCCATTACCTACTCCTAAGACTATCTATAGGGGACCCCTGCAAGCATAGTTTTCCTCTCTCTGTGAAGGGGAGATTTCATGTTGCCCCTTGCCCCTAATGGTTAGGGTATAGGGTTGGGGCCGCCAGTGGGGGTCTGGCTAACACAAAGACCGAGACCTGCCAGTAGCTGTGCCTCCCTTTCTCATCGTCCCCCACCCTTCATCGAGTAGCAGCAGAGGCTATGGCCAACACTCTCCCACACACCACACAACCCACTCGCGCTCACAGTCACACCCGTGTTGGTCATAGACCCCGCTAATACCCATCAGGGGTATCCAGAGGAGTATCACAGTCCGTTGGTCCTTACGACCATTACAGCTAAAAAGAAAAAGAAAAAAAAAAAGGAGCCTTGATGGAACGCGTGACAAAGCAATCAATCCAGAATTCCGAGAGACCTCACGTTGGTAGAGGACGGTGATCTCCTCCGATCTCGGCGATCTGATAGAGCTCGTAGTAAAGGCAAGTGCGGTCCAACAGATCCCTGGCTCAAGCCCCAAGGTAATAAGGTATCCGTTGCTGTGGGGAAGGAGGAGAGCAGGGCACAATTCAAAACCCGCAGAGAAAGACAATCGTTCATAATTTCTCGAATGAGAGAGAATGGACACACGTACCTATTATGGTATTACCCGCATTCCTTTGGTTCTGAATCTCTTGCGACAATCCTAATCTCTAGAATGAGAGGGAATCGACACACTTTCCCTTTATGGTATCTTCCCTCTGAGACTCCTTTCTCCATCGCCTCTTCCGGGCCAGCTCCCCTCGGGCAACAGCACTTGAGACATAGGGTCTCGCTCCACTACACTAGACTCTAAAAAATTCGAGAAATGTGCCTTGCTCCACTACACTAGACTCTGGAAAATCCGAGAGTTGTGCCTAGCTCCACTTCCACTAGACAAACCTCTCCAGAATGTGTGTCTAGTGCTGTCAGAAAGTGTGCTAGACCTGCACTCTCGAGTCCTCTAGAGTTTCCCTGCTTGCAGTGCCCGTTTCCTCTAGGGTCCCCCGTGCTGGTCTCAAAACTGCGCTGAAATTGGAGAGTCCACCGCAAGTCTGTCTGAACAAACCAGGCTGCCGTGTCACTTTGTGGAATTGAAATGCTGTAGTGCGGCGCCATGTATCTTTTCATGTTGTGGCACAAGATTCATTCTTAATTTGCAGATTTGGCCAGTGGTTTCCTCGCTCCACACTACACTAGACTCTACTTTCGAGTGCTAGAGAGTCCGTCGAGAGTAACCCCTTCTAGCGTAACTGGAAACAGGCCAACGTTTTTGCTATTTTCTAGACTCTGAGATCTCTAGGCGGACTCTACACTATTTTCTTAACTCTAGTGTAGTGGAGTGAGACCCATCCATCCTCTGGGTAGAAGATGGCAAGATTAGATGAGGGATTCAAGGCACGAGTCTTTTTTTTCAAGCCGCAAGATCGTAAGATTGGGGAAGGGAATGAGGGGGTGAAATTATGGAGCAGCAGCCACTGAAAGAACTGCTACTTCACTAGAGACAAGTGCAAAGAAGTATTGATAAGAGAATAGGCTTCCTTCTATCGCAGCCCAGTAAGTTGCGCAATCCGTACCAGTTCTTCACCTCTTGCATCAAACTCCTCCTTTGACACGAGCCCCTCCAGCCCATTCAACCATGCCAAAGCCTTCTCCAGATGCTTCCGAAGATCATTGACGTGCACGTTGGTCCCAACACTCCCAAACTGTGCTCGCAAATGTAGGATAAGAAAGTACAGTCCCGATCGGGATTCCTCGGCTGCCCATATGCGGGCATCCTCCTCTTTCGCTTCTGGTGTGTACCAATCCGTAGCCTTCATCCCATCACCCAAAGACTGCACAACATCTGTATTCACGTAACCGTGGTCTCAACCTTTCTTCCAATGTTCTTGTGATGTGCAAGAGCCTCTAATGTGGCATGGAGAATCCCATGAGCATCTATTTTAACCGCAACTTTCCAGGCCGCTTCCTGCGGGGCTTCACCGCCCATGAAATCGTCCATGGTCAGTTCGCCGAGCAACCTGTTCTTTCTACAAAGAGCGCGTTCTCCTTCATACAACCATGCCGTGACTGCCTTCTCACCGTCCTCCAACACATACTTTCGACTTCCGGTGGCGGGAAGGGAAGAGTCTCTCGGAATAACGACAGCCATGACACCAAACTTTGACTCCATTCCGCTGCATATCAGTCCTACACTTGCTGATGTCACATCGTGTACCGATATGCTTGCCTCTGCGCACTTGTCGCTTCTGGCCAGCAAGCCAGCCTGTACTGCAGCCCCAAATGCCACCACCTCGTCAGGATTGACAGACTTGATGGGCGCCTTGCCAAAGAATGCCGTCAGCATCTCTTGCACCATCGGAATCCTTGTGGATCCACCCGCCAGGACAACCTCCGAGATGTCATCCTTGCCCATCTTGGCATCACTGAGGGCTTGTTCCACTATCATCACGCACCGGAGGAAGAGGTCCTTGTTGAGTTCCTCCAACTCTAGGCGGCCCAGCTTCATGCTCAGGACATCCTCACGGTAATCCAAATTGACATTTGCCACTGTGACCCCCTTACCAGACAAAACATGCTTAGCATCCACAACCGCCTGCTTAAGTCTTGGTAGGATCTTGTGGTTAGTCAGTAAATCCACCCCATGAACTTGGCTCTCGAACCGCTTGGTCACATGCTGAAGAAGCCGATGGTCTATGTCTGAGCCTCCTAGATGAGAGTCTCCTGCCGTGGCCCTCACCACAAAGCTGCAGTCTTCATCTGGCCCGGCCTTCACTGTGACAATGGACACGTCGAAGGTTCCCCCGCCCAGGTCGAACACCAGGATGTTCTTCTCCACAGGCCCCCTCCGTATCAGCCGTTGATGACCGTAGGCCAGCGCGGCGGCCGTTGGTTCGCTCATCAGTCGCAGCACGTTTAACCCAGCGCCGACCCCGGCGGCCATTGTCGCCTTCCTCTGACTGTGGCTGAAGTACGCAGGCACAGTGATGACCGCATCTTTAATCGTCCGGCCACAGTTGAAGTCCTCCGCGATCTCCTTCATCTTCTTCAGCAGCAGGGTGGAGATTTCTTCAGGCCTGAACGAGCTTTGCCTGCCCGCCGGTGCCTCCGGAACGTTGAGAACAACTTCACCACGAGGACCGGATGACACTGTGAAAGGCCACTTTTTCGCGTCCTGCTGGACAATTGCGTCGTTGAAAGATTGCCCCATCAGACGCTTGACTTCGAAGATGGCCTCCTTGGGATTCGTCATGCTGTGTTTCTTCGCAGCATCCCCCACCAGACAATCGCCCTCGCTAGTGAATGCCACGTAGGAAGGAGTGGTCCTGTGCCCGAGGTCATTGGGAACAATCTCGATGTCGTCGATGTTGCGAAAGATAGCGACGCAGCAATAGGAGGTCCCCAGATCGATGCCTATTACAGGATTGTCCTCCATCGCGTATCGCTTTCGATCCCACACTGGGAATTCATTGACAGTCATAGTTGGCCTTGGCGCTTGCTGCTCTGAATGCCGGCCTCGTCCGACACCTTCACCTTCATGCTTCTTCCAATCTTCTTGGCGCTGCTTTCCGCAGCCCGATAGACAGGCAAACGCAGGTCTGAAACACATACTCGCTGTTCAAGCACCTCTCTCTCTCTCTCTCTCTCTCTCTCTCTCTCTCTCTCTCTCTCTCTCTCTCTCTCT